TGTTACAAATGGCAAGATTTAATTCCTTTTTATGGTTGCGTAATATTCCATTTTAAATGTATATAAATATCACATCTTATTTATCTATTCATGAATCAATGGACACAGGCTGCTTCCATATCTTGATATTATAAATAATGCTGCAGCGAGCATAGGGATGCATATGTATACAACATTACAATGTTAATATCTATTCTATCAAGAGGTTTGCCTGCCAACTGAATTCTTCAAATGAATTAATTTATGGTTGAATTTGACTTAAATATAATACTGCTGCCCGGCTGGTGTGGCTCCGCAGGTGAGCATCGACCTAGGAGTCAAGAGGTCACCGGTTTGATTCCTGGTCAGGGCACATGACCAGGTTGTGGGCTTGATCCCAGTGGGGTCTGTGAAGGAGGCAGCCAATCGATGACTTGCTCTCTCATAGGTTTTTTTTTTTAATAAATCTTTATTGTTCAGATTATTACAGTTGTTCTTCTTCCCCCCCCCCATAACTCCACCCAGTTCCCACCCCACCCTCTGCCCTTACCCCCCCCCACTGTCTTCATCCATAGGTGTACGATTTTTTTCCAGTCTCTTCCCACAACCCCCACACCCCTTCCCTCGCCCCCCCGAGAATTGTCAGTCCACTCCCTTTCTATGCCCCTGATTCTATTATATTCACCAGTTTACTCCGTTCATCAGATTTTTTATTCACTTGTTGATGGATATGTACTTGTTCATAATTTTTATCTTTACCTTTTTCTTCCTCTTCCTCTTCTTAAAGAATACCGTTCAGCATTTCATATAACACTGGTTTGGTGGTGATGAACTCCTTTAGCTTTTCCTTATCTGTGAAGCTCTTTATCTGACCTTCTATTCTGAATGATAGCTTTGCTGGATAAAGTAATCTTGGTTGTAGGTTCTTGCTATTCATCACTTTGAATATTTCTTGCCACTCCCTTCTGGCCTGCAAAGTTTCTGTTGAGAAATCAGCTGACAGTCGTATGGGTACTCCCTTGTAGGTAACTGACTTTTTTTCTCTTGATGCTTTTAAGATCCTCTCTTTGTCTTTTGCTCTTGGCATTTTAATGATGATGTGTCTTGGTGTAGTCCTCTTTGGATTCCTTTTGTTTGGGGTTCTCTGCGCTTCCTGGACTTGTAAGTCTATTTCTTTCACCAGGTAGGGGAAGTTTTCTGTCATTATTTCTTCAAATAGGTTTTTAATATCTTGCCCTCTCTCTTCTTCTGGCAGCCCTATAATTCAGATGTTGGTACGCTTGAAGTTGTCCCAGAGGCTCCTTACACTATCTTGATATTTTTGGATTCTTTTTTCTTTTTGCTTTTCTGGTTGGGTGTTTTTTACTTCTTCGTATTTCAAATCTTTGACTTGATTCTTGGGATCCTCTTGTCTGCTGTTGGATCTCTGTATATTATTCTTTATTTCAGTCAGTTTATGCTTAATTTCTAGTTGATCCTTTTTCATATCCTCGAGGGTCTCACTAAATTTATCAGCGGTTTCTAGAAAATTCTTGAAAAACCTTATAACCGTGGTTTTGAACTCTATATCCAGTAGTTTGCTTTCCTCCATTTCTGTCATTTGTGATCTGTTTCTTTGTCTCCGCATTTTTTATGCTTCCCTGTGTTGGTAGAGTGGCTTTCTGTGCTAGGTGTCCTATAGGGCCTAGTGGCTCAGCCTCCCCAATTACCTGGGGTGGACACTCTTGGTGCATCCCTTTGTGGGCTGTGTGCACAGTCTTGTAGTTAACACATTGTTTGCGGGTAGTTTTTATCACGCGCTAACAGGTGGCGTGGGTCATATTTGCTAATTTTTTGCAAACGTATTTATACGTTACCTGCATTCTACCGCTAGTCTATAAAAAACGTATTAATACATGTCCCGCGCTCTACTACACTGGTAGAACGTATAAATACGTTTCCCGCATACAATGTGTTAAGCCTTGATTGTTGGTATTACTGGGAGGAATTGACCTCCAGGCCAATTGTCTGTGAGAATCAGCTGTGTCTACAGTGGGAGAACTTCTGTGCTGAAGACACCCTTATGGGGCAAGACTTGCTTCAGGGGGCTTTGGTGCCCACTGAGTCTGTCCCCTGAGTGTGTCCATTATGGATCTGAGGAGTTGTAATCTGGATGGTCCCAATCTGACCACTGGGTACAGAGGCTCTTGGATCTCTAAGGAGGTACTAATTTAGCCTCTGCCTGAGGCTACCCAGCAAGAGCTATGGAGAGATCTGCAGGTTCCTCTTCCTTGTTTGGGTTTTGGAGGTGCTCAGATGAGGCCCAGCTGTGAAGCAATGCAAGCTGCTGTGGGACCTTGGGCCTTCTTTTGGATGTTCTGGGTCTTTCTGACCCAGCTGCAGTTTGTTAGGTAATTTTAGATCTCAAAGGGCCAGCCCATTCATATGCAAAAGCCTCTGCACACAGCTTGGGTGGGGCGGGGGTCTCAGGGAATCAATAGGAGGAGCAAACAGCTATGGCTAATCCTCAGTCCTACCCTAAGAGGCCCCGTGTCTCAGTGTCCCGGTAATCGCTGCAAGCACCTCTGAGAGAAAGCTGCCCTTGAGTTCCGCCTGCTGCCAGACAGTCCAGTTTCTCCCCGTATGAGTCTGGGTCCCCAGACTCGCCAGGAACTGGAGTCAGGGCCGTTGGGAGCTTGTGCCTCCCTCCCGATTGCGAAAGACACCGGAGTCCTCCGTTGCCAGCCCTTTCTGCACACGCGTACCTCTGCACATTTGAACTGAGTCTTTTTTTAATTTTTAATTTTATTGGGGTGACTGAGTCTTAAGGAGTAAATTAGCATTTCAGATAGTGGGCCCAAAACCAAGGCAGAAAAATGAGAGAACCCAACATTTTAGTCAGCTTTTGGGCATGGTCAGACCTTTGAATGCCTAGGAGTGTGGATGTTGATTTCTGTTTTATACAAACTACTCTCACCTTAGCTGGTTTGGCTCAGAAGATAGAGTGTTGACCTCCGAACTAAAGGGTCCAGGGTTCTATTCTGGTCCAGGGCATATGCCTGGGTTGTGGGCTCGATCCCCAGTTGGGGGCTTGAAGGAGACAGCCAATCAATGATTCTCTCTCATCATTGATGTTTCTATCTCTCTCTCCCCCTCTCCCTTCCTCTCTGAAATCAATAAAAATATATTTAAAAAATATATAAAATAAAGGTAATTGGTATTCAAACTACTCTGACAGTGGAATGGAGACCAGAATGTAGGGAATAGACAGAAAGCAGAGAGCAGATATAGGGAGTGAAATTTATGAAGTCCTGAAGGTGGTAAAGAATAGAGAAAAGTGGATGAGCTCAACTGATAGGACAGGCGCAGTGGTCCATTTCTGGCTTTGGTTTTTCTAGTGACATTTTTTCTTTAAGTTTCTTTCACTTGGAAATCCATGCTCCCCACCTCACATCTTCCTTCCCGCCCCTGAGCCTGTGGATTCTTGCATACACAGCTGCTCTGAGCTTTATTCTATTTCAATTTTTTGACTAAGCAATACATTCCTATAACTGAAAAAGTTAAAATCAGTTGAAAGGGTGTAAATGAGGACTCCCAACCACTCAGTCCCACCCTCTTTCCCCCTTCCCCCTTAGAGCTACCGCTTTTATTACTTTCTTACCTATCCTTTCAGTGACTCCTTGTTCAAATGCCAAGTACATACACATATAATTATTACTTTTATTTCCTTCATACACAGCCAGGGTCCTGCTTTGTGCCTTTCTAAATCAGCACAGAGAGCTTCCTCATTCTTTATAGCGGCACCACTGCCCATTGGTTTAGCTTAATTAGTCTGTTCTGAGTTAATTCCCTGGACCTTGCTATTGGCTTTGCTGAGCAGCCTCCAGGTTTACCTGGTAAACCAGTGTATTTTCTTTTCTTTTTTTCTATAGAGAATACTTTTTATTGTACAGGTATCATATACACAATTTAATGTGTGAACATTTACAGGCATGGAGTTCAATTCCAAATCTCCATGGCACCCCATACACTGCACCTCGCACTCCTGCTTGGGATTAGCCCAACAGGAATGAGACACCAAGTTATTGCTTTGTGAACAGAGAGCTTCAATTAAATAGAACAGAGCCCAGGATCCTAATTCGTAACACCCTGTGTACATATGAATAAAACCTAAAGATGTGTTTTAGATGACCCCATCACCTTTAAAAGTTATTAAAATGGAACCCCATTTCTCAAAAAGTCACTAAGAAGTGCACCCGTATCTACAGACCCGATTAAATTATGCATACATAAAATCTGTACAGGAGACACATTGTTTCTCAAAATAACAGCGCCTCCTCTGGGACCTGGGGGGTGACAGGCAGCAAAAAACGCTTCATGCCTACCCTTTTCAAGTTTACTCGAATCACCAAGATGTGAAATAAATATGCAAATAAAGCTTCAGTACCTTAAAGGAACATGTCATTTCAAAGAATCTCCCACGTGTAGAGTTAATTTTCAGTTAAAAAACAAACAACATAAAATCAGCAGGCTTTGTTTCTACGTGTTTTGTAAAATCCAAAAGCCCCTTTTGAAAAGGGGATTTTTAAGTGTGTTCAATACCACCTATTAATTAGTTGCTAAGCAGAGTCTGCCTCCTACTGAACGCAGGATTTGATATCTGAAGATGCTAGATAAACACTTTTTTCTAAAGATAAATATTAAGTGGGCAGGGAGCCAGCAATGACTTTAACACTGAAAGTTACTATTGATTTGAATCACATAGATTTGACATTTCAACAGCTAAGCATGCGGGGGTTTTGTTAGCCCAGGGGATGGATTTAAAAGGTTTGAAAACTTGTAGCACCACTTTCAGAGACAGAAGAATGGGGTTCAAAATAAAACATAAGCTTAATGAATAGAGAACCAGTACTTGTCGCCTTCTGATGACTCGTCCAGAGTTAAGGAGACACTTCAGCACCAGAAAAATACTAAGGACTCCAAGAGGGCAAGTCCAACTCCAGGAGGCCAACAGGCCTTTCAATGGGAAGGCAAGTAAAAGCTTAGCTTGTCCCCCCAGGCCGAGGAGTCTCCCCATCTGTGCCGGTGAGCGTGGTTTGAGATTTTTTTCCCCTTGCAGACTCGTCTTCCCTTTGTTTCCACCTGTTGCATTTCCGATGCTTCTCCATCTTCTCCGAGGTCTTGCTGGAATCGGCTGGACTCTGGTCCCCAGGATTCATGTAGGATTTCTCTATGATGACCAAAGCCTCTTTTATGTAGTTCTGCATAGCAGACACGGCGGCACAGATGGCCTGGCTGCCAAACCCGTGGGTCATCAGGCTGAAGTGAGACAGGTGGTTCTGAATGTTCGCCTCTAAGACCGGGGCCGGCCGGTTGTTCCCGTTGGGTGTTCGGTCTTGGTGGAGAAGGTCCGTGAATTCTTTACACACTTGCTGTGCGGCCAGCAGCATGTTCTTCCTCGTTGCCATCTCATTCTGTCCTCCAAGATGAGGTTTAGTTAAGTACTCGGCCACCGGTTTACTAGGAAACTCAGCTTCACAGACATGCGCGAAGTCCCGAGCCAAATGAACGGCCTCACCTTCTACTAAGGAAGTCAGGAGGGTGACGTGTGCAGCCTTCCGTCTGCCCGCTGGAAGGTTCAGCCCAATCTTGTCCAGCTTCACCCGCAAGGACCAGCCTCCATTTTTAGACTTGGCTCTTCTGAGAACACCTGCCAGGAATGAGGCATTTAAGCACTCAGGCGGGGACAATCGCCTCTGGACTTCGGCAACTGTCACTGTGTATTTCGACGTGCGGTTCAGGAGGGACAATCTTCCGCGGACGGAGCAGAAGACCTCACTGGGGTTCACCACAGCCCCCACCAGCTCCTTCTGACAGGGGAGGCTCAAGGGATTCTTGGTCATTGAAATGGGACCTTTGCGAATCCCAGTCTGATCATGCAGAAGCCGGTGCTGCCCATCCACGATCTGCACCTCGTCCATCGGTTGCCCCAGGTCAGGAAGGCCCAGGTTCTCCGCCCGCCCCGCTGCGTCCAGGGCGCGCGCGTGGGGCAGCAGCAGGTCCGAGCGGTGGAAGCCATCCCTGCGGGCGCTCATAGCGCCGCCGTCCTGCCCGGAGAGATGGGGTAGCAGGCCGGCCGGGCGCCCGTGGTGCGAGGGCAAGCCGGCAGCCTCCTGGCTCCCGCGGCCGGGCCAGGCCTGCGGCTGACTGCCCGCGGGCGCCGGCTGGTGCAGGGGGTTGATGGCAGCGTACGCTTCTCCCAGATGCGAGGAGGGGTCTGCCGACTGGGAATAAGTCAGCAGCTGGTAGGGAGGTGGGAAGTAGGGTGGTGGCTGGTATTCGGCGACTCCGGTGTGGGAGAGGGCCGGCGCGGCGCTGTAGAGATGTTGCCCGGCCGAGGGGAGGTGGGGGAGGCGCGGGTTCCCATTGCTGCTCCCGTCCTGGCGATCCTGGGGAGGCGCGCCTTCGAAGCCCGGCGGCGAACCCCCGGGCGCTCCGCCGCCCGAGGCTCTCCAAAGCGCCGAGTTCGAGTTCCCGGCCCCGGAGGAAGGCGCTCGGTGCAGGCCGCTCTCGTCCACCAACCCACTCATGTTCGCGTCGCCGAGCAAAAAAAGCAAACCAGTGTATTTTCTTTGCTCCTCTGTTTTTAGAGTTTCCCCCCCCTCATCAACTTCCTAGCAACTGACTGTATTTCTACGCCCCGTAGTGAGGGATCACTGAAGGCTTCCTCTCCTCCTCCTGCCTTCTCAGCTATTGCACACAGCGGGCGCCTTCTCAGCTATTGCACACAGTGGGCGCCTTCTCAGCTAATGCACACAGCGGGCGCCTTCTCAGCTAATGCACACAGCGGGCGCCTTCTCAGCTAATGCACACAGCGGGCGCCAACCCTTCCTTATGGCCCTCGGGCAGCAGCTCACACCTGTTCCTTCTGGTGATGGAAAACAGGCTCCGAGGCTCTTGCTTTTGGATCCCTCGTCTCAGGCGGTTTTCATCCTCCTGGGAACAGGTGTGCTGAGCGGGAAACCTCGGTTATAAATGCACATAATTTAATTGTAAACACCTGTTGACAGAGCTGCGCCTTGGCGGAACCAGTAAGAAGTTAGGTGTTTTCTTCCTCTTTTTGTTTATTTTTAGCCTGTGTTTTAATATTTGTTGTCTGATTGCTAACTTACGAGCACAGCGCTCTTCTGTGTTAATGAACGTGTCGGCGTTTCCCCGCCTGAGTTTGGTGGCCTGCCCCGGCAGGGTCAGTGCTGCTGCTAACAAGCCCGCCGGCTGGCGAGGGCCATGGGCACCATGATTAGAATCTTCCAGTGCTTCTCCTGCCAGGAAGGGGACCGATTCCAGGTCAATAAGGCGGGATGAAGATGCTCCCGCAGAGAGAGCTCACGGACGCCTCCCGGTGGGACCCAGCTCCCCTGCCCCTGCGGTCCAGGCCGCGAGGTGCACACCCAGGGCAGCCTCTGTGCACATCGTCTCCTGTGACTCTGCCACAGACACAGCGTAATTTCTTTGGAGATTGGAAACACGGGCGCAAACACGAGAACCTTTGTTTTCTGTGCACGTCGTCCCTGTGTGGCCTCTCCTGTATCACCTGTGGGTTTCCAAGTATTGTAAATTCTATGTGAGGCTCTCATCAATTCTCAACACCCTGGTGCAGCAGAGATGTAGCTAGTTATAGAACTAGGAACTATAACTATAGCTACAGCTAATTACACTAGTTATACCTGGAGCTTTGTCCAGGTGTCTGTAAATGGATGTTGTTTTGGGGGCCAGAAATGAAACCTGGGGTGCTTTATGTTGTGGCAGCAAAGTTTCTAATGAATGACAAATACTCGGAAAGCTTTGTCAGCCAAGCACAGCTGATAGGGATTGATGGAAAGGGTGTGTCTGGCCAGTAACCAGCTGGGTAGCAAACTGATTCGCATCTCAAGACAGCCAGGAGTTAGTGTAATAAATCCACACATGAAACCTTACAGTGCAGTGTTCGGGGCCTCCTCAAGGTTTAAAATACGTCACTCTGATGTTTATGGAGCTGCCTCAAATGGACTTGAGCAGGATGTACTGCCCTTGCATGATGCTATTCTGTACAAACCCTGCATTAAGACTACAGTGACTGTATTTACAACAGTCTTCTTCCCACTCTCTACGGGAAAAACTTAAGTAAAAAAATTTTAACAGTAATTTTTTAGGTACTTATTTTTGGATTCCAAATAACAATTTATTTTTATTACATTGATAGAGCAAATGGTAATTTATATATTTTTTCTAGAACTTTTTTAATTGAGGTATATTTGATATATAACATTATATTAGTTTTAGGTATACAACATAATGATTCAATATTTGTCTATATTGTCAAATGATCACCACAATAAGTCTAGTTACCATCTGCCACCATACATAGTTACAAACATTTTTTCCTTGTTATGAGAACTTTTAAGATCTATTGCTCTCTTAGCAACTCTCAAATATGCAATACAGTATTGTTAACTACAGTCACATGCTGTATGTTAATATTGCAATTCTTCACAATACCTTTTTAGTGATTTTAGAATTCCCCAGGAATTTTTTTTTCTTCAAATTCAGTTTGGCTACTGTATTATCTAACATTTAGAATAAAAGGCTCAGTTGGTCAGACTCGCACTTTGATTTATTCAAGTGAAATTTTTTTAAAAAATATATTTTATTGATTTTTTACAGAGAGGAAGGGAGAGGGATAGAGAGTTAGAAACATCGATGAGAAAGAAACATCGACCAGCCGCCTCCTGCACACCTCCTACTGGGGATGTGCCTGCAACCGAGGCACGTGCCCTTGACCGGAATCGAACCTGGGACCCTTCAGTCCGCAGGCAGACGCTCTATCCACTGAGCCAAACCGGTTTGGCTATTCAAGTGAAATTTATAATTGCTTTTGATCAAGTTGATTATGATCAATTTAAGTTTCCAACCATTTAACGGTTGGCAGCTAATGAGAGGGCAATGGGAAATCCCGGAAGAAATGAGCTACTTCTAGAACAGGGGTGGGCAAACTTTTTGACTCGAGGGCCACAATGGGTTCTTAAACTGGACCGGAGGGCCGGAACAAAAGCATGGATGGAGTGTTTGTGTGAACTAATATAAATTCAAAGTAAACATCATTACATAAAAGGGTACGGTCTTTTTTTTTTTTTTTAGTTTTATTCATTTCAAACGGGCCGGATCCGGCCCGCGGGCCGTAGTTTGCCCATGGCTGTTCTAGAATCTCATCCGCCACTATCAGAGGAAGGGTGGGTGGCTCACAGTCCTGTCCGCTCCGGGCCCTGCTCTCCGTGGGCTCCGTGCTTTACTCTCCACCCGTAACTGCGGTCATTCTGTAAGTTCTGCCCTTTATGGTGCCTCTTTCTTGGTCAGGCGTTGTGCTCAGTAAGGCTGCCAGATAAACTAGTGTATGTCCCATGCAATATACTAAAGAAAAGTATTCATTGTTCATCAGAAATTCACATTTAACCAAGTGTCCCATATATTTGTTAAATATAGCAATCTGATGCTAAGCACATTTAAAAGTATGTTGACGTATCCCTCAAATTTGTAGGGAGATTTAATTCTCCCCATTTACATATACAAAATATTAAAAATGTTAAGGGATTTGCTTAGAGTCCCATTGTTGGTGACTGGTAGAGCCGCTCACACTACCTCCTTTTGGCTGCAAAACCTTCGTTCCCTGCTCCCTGCCTGCCTCCCCGAGTCCTGGCCCTTGACCTGTGATGTCGTGTAGTGAGTGCATTTTCAGCATCAGCCACTCGCTCTGGCTCATGATGAGCTGCTGTTTGATCTCCTGAGTGTTTAGGTCTGAGCCAGAAGTATGTGGCCCTGGGGCAAAGTGCTAGGCTCATTTAGAATCTGCGCCTGGTTCAAACCTTCCTGCAAATAGCCCTTTGGAAACTGTCCTTAGGTGCTAAAAATGAAAATAAAAAATGTAATATAGATAAAAGGAAGATGCGATTTCACTTGTCATTATGAATCTCAAAGCCTGGGAGTTAGACATTTTCTTTTTCCTTTTTGTGCCAAAAGGACCCTCAGTTGATTGATAAGCTAATGCAAAACCTGGAACCCAATAAGGACAACGAAGTGGATTTTAATGAATTTGTGGTCAAGGTGGGCGCCCTGACAGTTGCTTGTAATGATTACTTTGTAGAACAATCGAAGAAGAAAGGAAAGTAGAGATAAGTAGCAAGCTAATCTAAAGGCAGAAATATATCCAAAGTTAATTACTTATTATTCATTTATCCCCTTCAAAGTTATAGATACTGTAATGCGGCTGTTCTCAACCTGTGGGTCCTTTCACAGGGGTCGCCTAAGACCATCGGAAAACACATATATATAATTACATATTGTTTTTGTGATTAATCACTATGCTTTAATTATGTTCAATTTGTAACAATGAAAATACATCCTGCATATCAGATATTTACATTATGATTCATAACAGTAGCAAAATTACAGTTATGAAGTAGCAATGAAAATAATTTTATGGTTGGGGGTCACCACAACATGAGGAACTGTATTAAAGGGTCACAGCATTAGGAAGGTTGAGAACCACTGCTGTAATACCATTTATAGATAGAATATACACATAATTAATTGCTAGTATTAGTAAAGGATGTATATCTTCATATATTGACTTTAAAGAAATATTTCAAATCTCATATGTACTACTTGAAGTTTTCCTCTTATTAAAGCTGTTATATACATTTTTTGTTTGTCAGAGAACATAAAAAAAATGTAGCTACTTTCAAATGAGACTAGAACTTAGCAAAATTCTAAGACCGATGTTCACCATACTTAAATTATATTTTGAGCTTCTTTCCTATTAAAGAAATTAAGTGGCTTCTGATTCTGCTTCAAATGGAAGGAGCTCTAAACAGAGATTTCTCCTGTTATTTCATTTGAGATCTGTTTCTTTGTCTCCTTACTTTGCTGACTCTTTTGTTTGTTTCTGTGTATTAAGTAGAGCTGCTGTATCTCCCAGGTTTAGTAGTGTGGTCCTATGTAATAGATGTCCTGTAGGACCCAGTGGTGCAGCCTCTCGGTCACTTTAGGCGAACACCCCCTCCCCCCGCAACCCCCCACCCCGCTGTGAACTATGTGCATTCTCCTGTTGAAGTTGAGCCTTGATAGCTATTGCATGTCAATGGGAGGGATTTATCCCCAGGCTGATCAGCTGTGAGGGCTGGCAGCAACTACAGTGGAGGATCACCGATGCAGGGGCTGACCCCACAGAGCAGGACTTTCTTCAGCAGGGCTCTGGTGCCTGCTGAGTCTGCCCCTTGAGTGTGTTGATTGTGGAGGTGGTGGGTGGTGTTTTGGTATAGTCTGAAACTGTCCACTGGGTGTGGTAGCTCTGGGGCTTCCTGGGAGGTACAGGCCAAACGTCAGTTGCGCCTGTGCCCTGCCCAGGGCCACCCAGCATGAGCTACAAAGAAATCAGGTAACTGCTACTTCTGCTGGGCTTAGAGGTTTCTGATAGAGGCCAACTGTGAACCAAGGCTGGTTGCCACTAGTGCCCACCTGGGGCCATGTAGCAAGAGGTACAGGGCATGATGCCAAAGCCAGATACTACTTGTTTGAGAGGTTTTAGGAAAGTCAACAGCATGAGACCAGACAGTCCATTTGTATGGAAAAGCTTGGGTGGGCCTAAGAGTTGGATTGGGTGGGATCTCAGGGAATCACCAGGGTGGGGCGACAGTGTGTTAGCCAGGAGACTCAGATACGGCGCCTGCCTGCTGGTCTGGGGGGCTCAGCTCAGCAAAGGAACAATGACCTTTGCCAGCCAGCACTTGGGTTTGGGAGAAAGCTGCCCCTCCAGCCCTGTCCTGAACCAGACAATTCAGTTCCTCCCCATATGTTCCTGGAGCTTTTCAAGCTGCTGCTTAGTGCTGGAGCTCAGAAATAGTGAGTTTGAGTAAGTTCATGCACAGGCCCTTTAAGAGGAACTGCCTGGGACTCCAGCAGATCTCCATCTCAACCACAATCTCCACCTGTTTTCACAGCCAGAAGTTATGGAGACTTCTCTTCCTGGCTCTGGAACCCTGGGCTGTGGGGACTGGTGTGGGGCTCGGATCCCTCCACAGCTGAGATGTCCCTTCTGATTGTTATCCACCACAAGAGGGTGTGAGACCAGTCCTTCCCCATCTCCACCCCTCCTACCAGTCTTGATGTGGATTCTTCTTTACATCCTTAGTTATAGGATTTCTACTTAGCTAGATTTCAGGTAGTTTGAATGATGGTTGGTCTGTAGTTTAGTTGCAGTTTTGATACGGTTGTGGGAGGAGACAAGTACTGCATTTACCCATTCTGCCATCTTGACTGGAAGCCTCCCAACTGTTAATTTTTTTTCTTTAAATAGATTAATAGTTCTTGTTTCCCTCAATTCAATTCTTAGCAGATAGAACAGGGAGAAGTTGGAGGTCAGAGCACTCAAGAGAAGAAATGCATATCCTGGGAATTACTTTTCCTGTCTCTTGAAAATTTATAAGAAAAAATGAGAAAAAAATTAAACACATATTTCAGAGGTGTTTAGACTTTTTTCTTAGAAGAGGTCACACTACTTATGCAAGAGAAAATCTGACTCTTTCTCAGGGACCTTTAAACTTTCATTCAATTTGATCCAAAGTTTACATATTCTAAAACGGGTCACCAAACCATGCCATGTAAATCCAAAAATTTCCTCATGTTCTATGTGAGGAAGGATATTCTCAACATAGAAAATAAATGAAAAAAAAACACACAAGGTTCATTTCATGCAACTTCTAAAAATTGATCAAAAGTGAGAAAAAGCAATTTATGTGTCAAATTACATTTTAAATCTGTAAGATTTACTAGAAAGCTCCTTTCTAGTAAAGGAGAGGTTTTCTGTTTTGTGTATATTAGGTACATACAATAAGTTTGTAAGAGGCAAGATTGATTATTTCTCTTGCCCAGAGGCACTGGCCTTTGCATTTTCTGGGGTTTAAATGAACTTTAAACAACATTTAAGGGTCAGCTCTGAATTAGCACATTCTTTTTTTTTTAATATATATTTTATTGATTTTTTACAGAGAGGAAGGGAGAGAGATAGAGAGTCAGAAACATCGATGAGAGAGAAACATCGATCAGCTGCCTCCTGCACATTCCCCACTGGAGATGTGCCCACAACCCAGGTACATGTCCTTGACCGGAATCGAACCTGGGACCTTTCAGTCTGCAGGTCGACGCTCTATCCACTGAGCCAAACCGGTTTTGGCTGAATTAGCACATTCTGATGTGTAACATTTTCCCAGTGTGGTTATTGGAAGACAACGCTTATAGGAGACAATAGGACAGGTCTGCTTGGGTCCCTGGATTTGGGATGTGGCTGACAATACAAATAACTAGAAACCATTAAACAAAAACCTTAAGTTTTACTTTTAAAAACAAAAATTTCACTCCAAGAATAGTGGGATTGAGGAAGACTTTCCAGCAGCAGAAGCTTAAAGTCATGTCTTTGATAAGGCAAAGAATGGAGGAAGAGAGAATTTGGGCAAAGTCATGGGGTATGAAGCAACAGGGTGTGTTTGGGGAAATGCCAGTGGTTTGGGGCACCCCAAAGTGTGGGATGTGGGAGAGCAGGACACAGGGCTGGAGATATAGACAGGACTCAAAATCAGAAAGGGTCTTCCTTGCCCTAGCCAGTTTGAATCAGTGGATAGAGCATCGGCCTGTAAACTGAAGGGTCCGGAGTTCAATTCAGGTCAAGGGCACATGCCCAGGTTGCAGGCTCACTTCCTAGTAGGGGGCATGCAGGAGGCAGCCAAGGAATTATTCTCTCTTATTATTGATGTTTCTATCTCTCTTTCCCTCTCCCTTCCTCTCTGATATCAATAAAATATATATGTATATATATTTTAGAAAGGGTCTTCCTTGGGTGCTAATGTGAGAAATTTGAAATTTATCCTGATTGTTATGAGAAACTAATGTAGGATTTAATGCATTTTTTTCTTCTAACTTAGAGCAGTTTCTAAATATCCCCCTAAATTTTTAAAATCTTTAAAGCAGTGGTTCTGAACCCTAACTTCACTTACACTCACCCAAAGTATTTTTTAAAATATATTTTTATTGATTTCAGAGAGGAAGGAAGAGGAAGAGAGAGAGAGAAACATCAATGATGAGAGAAAATCATTGATTGGCTGCCTCCTGCATGCCCTATACTGGGGATCGAGCCCACAACCAGGCATGTGCCCTTGACCAGAATTGAACCTGGGACCCTTCAGTCTGCCAGCTAACGCTCTACCCACTGAGCCAAACCAGCTAGGGCTCACCCAAGGTATTTCTAGAAATATAGATGAATAAACTCCACCCCCACAGATTCTGATTCAGCTGGTTTGATGATGGGCCCAGGCATCAACATTCAAGCATCAGATGATTCTAAATGCAACCAGGGTTGAAAATTACTGCTTTTATGGTGAATCATTTAATCAAATAATCAGATCAATGTCTGGCTGAGAAGTGTCTAGAACAGCATCTATTCCAACTTTAATGTGTATTTAAATCTCCTAGACATCTACTTCTACATTAGTAGGTCTGGGCTGGGCTCGAAATTCTGCATTTCTAACAAACCCCAGGGGATGCCGATGGTGCTGATAGAAATGATCTAGATGCCAGGATAAAGGGAAAGAATTTGAAAAGTATGGAGGTGTCATTTTGGAAGTGAGTACCTGTAGATTAGTTCTTACTGAGGTATACTCCCTTTTGAAGAATATAAGACAACATAAGAACATTAGGCACAGAGGGAGCCAGGGAGAAGGGGAGAGCGGTGGGAGACACTAGGAAAGAACATTCCCTAGGGCCCTGGAAGGAAGGATTGCCATCCGACTGCCTCAGGTCAAAGGTCTTGGGTAAGTTATTTAACTTCTTTAAGCCTCATTTTCCTGGCATGTCTCAACTAGGGGCACTTATTGAACATTAAGATTTCCAGGCCCCAACCCAGTCCAAATGAATCAGGAGGGAGGAGGATTGGTGAGAATCTGCACTAGGTAAATGTTATGTACCCTTAAACTGCAAAACTAGAACTCTGGTGGTTAAAATAAGATAGCAAGTGCCTAGAACATCATAAGTGCTCAATAAGTGCTAATCATGGAGATGAAAATGGTGTAATGGTGATAGAGTGAACATTTCTGATCCAGCCTAGATTCCACAACACATGGGTTTTATTCAACCTACACTCTGAGGTTGGCACCAGGGCAGGGGGGCATTATTTAATGCAGCTGGTCCTGAGGTCAACCATGGCATCACTTCTCTGGATTTTAATTGAGGCCTAGATGTTATCTCTAGGGA